TACTCCTAGCATATATATTGTTTCAAATCGTAATTATTCTTTATGCCCCTTGTCTAATCTCTCCCTATCCCCCCTCCCTCCCCCTCCCCCTATAGTTACACTGGATTTCTTCTCTCCTTTGGAAAGAATTTCAGTTACTCTGTTGATTTGTTGCCTAGATGATCTGTCCAATGCTGAGAGGTGTGGTCAGGTCCCCCAATATTATAGAGCAGATGCCTCTGTCACTCCGAAATGGGCTTTGTGGAGAGAGACATCCTCTTCTTTTCTTTACATCTGCTGGTGACTTTCCTTGTGTCAATGCACTCCAGTGGTTGGTGGACCATCTGTGTGGTGGTTGTGGCATCTAGCCGCTTTTGTGGCAGCTATGGTTATAGTGGTGGCTGTGGTGGGCCACCCACATGGAGGTGATGTTTTTGACATGCTCCTTGGTGCTGGCAGTGTGCCTTGTTGTGGAGTGCACCTGGTCCCTGGCTCCATACCTCAGGTCCTTGGGCAGGCCCTGAGGTACTGGTGCAGTGTACCTGGTTGTGGGCAGGGGTCTGCTCCCCAGCTCCATGCCTCAGGTCATCAGGGAGGCCCTGAGGTGCTGGTGCAGTGTGTCTGGTTGTGTGTGGGGGGGTCCAGTCCCCTTCTCCATGACTTGGGTCCCTGGATGGGCCCTGAGGCACTGGCGTGGTGTGCCTGGTTGTGGGAGGAGAGTCTGGTCCCCTTCTCCATGCCTTGGATCAAAATATTTTGAACTTAAAAAAAGAACCTGAGAGTGTAAAATAAACAAAGCAAAACAACTAGTGGTTCCTGAATACTAGCAGCTATTCTTTCAACCACTGCCTTTGCATAAATCCACTCATCCTAAAGGTACTAGTCCTCTAGTTCCAGATTTACTCTTTTGGTTAAGTGTCCTCCTGCTACCTCTTTCATTTCATCATACATCTTGTCTTCCTGAGGACCTGAATCTCCCTGGAGAAAGATCCCTGGGGTCTGTAGTGGTGCCTATTCATTTCCTTATTTAAATGCCACTTCATTCCATGAAGAGTTTTAAAGAAGCTGTAAAATAAGATATCATCAATCTAAAATGAGAGGCAACTGACTGTTTAGAAGAAAATAAAGTTAGATTTCTGTGTCAGGGACTTTATACAAAAATATATTGCAGATGGAGTAAAGATAATTATTTGGCATTATCTCAAAATGTGGCTATCATGAAAATGTGGCTACGCTCTAGTACTGCTTCATGGCAGCA